AATGACTCTGGCTCTGGGCGCCCACACGATTCAGATACAAACTTGCTTCAGGATAACTATGGCGATTGAAAGCCTTTACTTCACACACCAACTCAATGTTTACATCAACTGTTCATGACTCCGGATCTCCCTGGATATTCCACACACACTCACTCTGTACTACACAGACACTCACTCACACACTGAAACACTAACTCTATCCTATGGCGGCTATGGCAGCTCGCCACTACTGAATATAGACACTCTTATCTTCTTCCTCAGCCCACTTCGACTTCGGGCATCTGCAGACCACCTCGCGCAAGACGCCTAGGCAGCGCTTCCGCATGGCTCATGCAGAAAATGAATGAATGGCCGGACGCTGCCTCTTGATTTATACTTCTGTTGGCTGCTGGTCTGCGCCTTTCCACCGGGCACATGGTACACGCAGTCCCACATGGTACTTTCTGACTGGACAGGGTACGACTGGGACTGGTACCGATGACTAGACTTGGTAAGTCTACCCACTTGCCCACTTGCCCACTTGCCTATGGACTGCTTCTAAGACTCTCGAAGGGGCAGTGGAAAGCTCTAGACCTACTTACCTTTCGGTACTGTCGCATCTACGACTGAGGTTGACCCTTCGGATCTACAGCAGCTACTACCAACTCAGACGTCAACTCCTACTCTACCGGTAAGCAGTTCAAATCCTACTCAGTCCTCAAATCTACGACAGCCTTTTACAGGCAACTCTAGGGGCTGGTCACAGCAGAGATGAGCACCGGGCACCCAGACCCGCACCCACCTGCACCCACCCCGCCCACAAGGACATTGGGTCGGGTGCGGGTCTTGATAAGGTGACCTGGGTGGGATGAGGGCGGGTCAAGGCCAAGCAGCCTGGGTGGGTGACAGGTGGGTCAACATTAGGCCTGGGTCACCCAAGTGGGTGCGTGACAGGTGGGTGAGTGCTAGGCCTGGGTCACCCGACCCACAGACCCAGGAACACCCATGAGGACCCCTCCCCCCTCMCCCCCCCCCCCCAATCCCTGCACAAAATGGCCACCCACCTAAAAAAGTTGAAGGTGCACGCACGAAATGTCAAGTCCCGCCTTCAGCCTGCCTGGAAAAAAAAAAAAAAACGGTCAAGGTCCTCCTGACAAAAAAAAAGCAGGAACCTTCTTTCAAATTTTTCGCACGCTGCTCTTGCCTCTTGGCGGCTGCACCACGGCCCACGTTTGGATGAGTTACCGCTTTCAAACGGGATGCTGAGTTTCGCTCCCATTAAAACAACAGGGGGCGAACCTAACCACAACAGGTGACAAGGTTCGCTCCCCACTTTTGAACTTCTGGAGCGCTTTGAATTTTGGCGCCGTCATCCAGCGACGGCACAACTTGTGCATGGTTCAGCAGCAGGGAGGAGGTGGCGGGGCGGTGAGGAGGGGGGCAACACACCGACAGCCTAGGGAGCAACAGAGTGGCCGCGAGCCACGCACCGACGGCCTGGGGAGCCACCCACTGACGGCCTGGGGAGCAACAGCGCTGCTACGAGTGAGCAGCAGTTGAGAGAGAGAGAGAGAGAGAGAGAGAGAGAGAGAGAGAGAGAGAGAGAGAGAGAGAGAGGCAGACTCCACTTTTCCGCATCTCTCCACAAACACGCTCCGATTCAGGTGTGAAATCCGAGGAGCGAGAGAGAGAGAGAGAGAGACGTGGGCGATTCCTGTGAGAGAGACAGAGCTCTCTCTCTCTCTCTCTCTCTCTCTCTCTCTCTCTCTCTCTCGGAGCGTGTTTGATTTTGTCATGTCATGTCATAATGTCCTATTGTCTGTAAATGTTCGAAGGGATAGACAATAGCGGGCACGGCCGACTGCGGGTGAAAAGATACTACATCCCGGGTGCAGGCGGGCAATGATTTTCTTGGGGGTGCGGGTGGGTCTGGGTGAACCTTGTTTATGGGTGGCGGGTGGGTTAGGCGTGGGCAGAAAAATTCGAAAAAATGCTTGGGTGGGTTGGATCAGCTCCAAACCTTTTTTTTTTTTTTTCTTTTAAGGGTTGCATGTACTAAGAAATTTTTGGGTGGGTTGGGTGAAGTGGCATTTCAAAAACAAAATGCTCATCTCCGGGTCACGGGTTCAAACACTGGTGGGGGTTCAGGGTGGTCTAGGGATCGAGCCCTGGGATCTGCATCTGTCACTGCAAAGGTGAAAACCGTTTCACTTTGTGTCTGTGTCCGTCAAGTAGTGTCGAGTCTAGTGAGTGTGTGTGTGCTCTCACTCCCTCCGTCTCTCTTCCCCGACCTCGCTGCTCTACCTCCGCCTCGTCACAGTAGTTGCAGTCAGATTCATCCAGGTGTGACCGTAATTGCAGTCAGTCAGATACATTTAGAAAGTCCTAGTGTGAGTCTGCCCTGACGCATTCCCGTGGGCTCTTTCCTTTCCTTTGACACAAACTGCAGCCGTCCGCCGTGCTGAGCTGGCATGCAGTTTATTTTGTTTTCTTTTTCTGTTGATGTTTTTTGAACTTTTTTCCTTCCTTTTTCTTTTTTCATTTTCGCCCCGACACAATGCACCAAGATTCCATCCAAATAAGCGCAATACAATGCAGACGCTCTCTGGTGACAACAACACTGTATCCAAAAAAAAAAAACAAAAAAAAAAACACTGTATCCAATATTGCTCCTACTGTCTGGTACTCTACTCAGCAGCGCCCCTCACCTCAGCGCCCGTGCGCGCATCCGACTCGCAGCACCCATGCAGACACTAGCACATCAACGGAGCAGTGTGTCCGCATTGCCTGCCAAGGCCAGAATGCCTCCCCAGGGGGCACACATACGGAAAGTGTCCGCTGCTGGCTGGCCTGACCAGGCGTGTGGGGAGCCCAGTAGCTTGCCTCGGGCCCCAAGTGTCTGTGCCCAGGCCCAGTTTCAGAGACTGGCCTGGCCTCGTGCAGTTAGGCACGTCCAGGCAGCCACCCAGCCTCCAAGTGTTTGCAGCATTCTCATTGGCTCCCGGCACATGTGTGAGTAACCAGTCCGTGATGTGTCGGCCTCACACAGCGTGTGCCCAGGGCGCAACCACCTGAGCCCTGGGCTCAACTGTACAGCGCAGCCTTTTTTATCCTGGAAGAGCATGGAGGCTCACATTGCTTTGTAACCAACTGGCGTGCAGCAACTGTCTGCGTACCCACGTATGGAAAAATGTCGAAAACAGGCCTCACGTGGATATTCAGGCCTGCCTTCACACAGGCTTGCTAGGGGCCGCAGCCCAGAACACTTGTATGTCTGGTAAGGGCCCCGCAAGGGCTCTTTCCTCGCACTTCCTTTTTCTTTCGAAAGGGCCATGACTTGAGGTGTCATCATTGCACTTTCCTAGCCAAAAGGCCGAGAAAGGGAAGAACTAATCTTATGGCAGATGAACTCGGGTCTGTATTTCAACCATTCTTGGGAGCAACAGTTGTCTGCCCTGATGAGCTGGGATGGCGGATTTCACGGCAAACAACGAGGCACTCCATGTGTGGCATACTGTGCAGCCACACGGGCCCTGCAGGGCCCGTCCCGGACCTCCAGCCTGTTTCCCTACAGGGAAACTTCCAGGCTCTTGCCTGGAAGCTTCCTTCTGACAGGGCCTACAGGCCCCAGCCTGTTTCCCTACAGGGACACTTCAGGGAACTTCCAGGCTCTTGCCTGGAAGCTTCCGCAGGGTCTAGGCCAGGGGAGCATTGGCACGGCCAGCCTCCTGCACGGGCCAGCACTATAAAGGACTGGCCCGCCCTGCAGGAAAGAGTCAGTAGGCAGAGGTAGTCTTCAGGATTCGGCCGCAGCACTCAGGAGGAGCGCTGCAGTAGTCTTCAGCGCTAGGCAGTAGTGGTAGCGCTAGCTGTAGTCTTCGGCGCTGGCGCAATAGCTGTAGCTGTAGTCTTCAGCGCTGGGCGCTGGTAGGTAGTAGATCGCAGAGTGGGAGAGAGACGGGCGGAGGCCAGTGTTACTTACCTGTGGTGCCATCGCTCCAGCTCCATCTTCGTGGGACCTGCATCAAGGCGCCAACTTCACAGGTTAGTACTGGACACAGAGAGAGAGAGAGTTCTTCTTCTTCCTCTTCTAAGTCCACCTTCTCTTCTCACCCTCTCGCCACCTGACTTCTCAGAC